TGTAATAAACAAGTATAGAATCTAAATCGAAATAACTAAGTAAACATTTTTTGGGAACTGCACTTTAATTGTATTTAACTAAACAAATAAATAATGATCTTAAAACGAAAACAAAATTTAAATTTCACAAAACACCAAAAGAATTTCTTATTTCTTTGGATGATAATATATTGAGACCCTCCCATTGTGGTGTGAAGATAAGAGCTGTGACTCTTGGATTTGAAAAAAGAAATAACCTATTAAAATACTTTTTTATGTGTAATTAAATTAAAAGTAAACAGGTTTTAATTTTCACTTATGGTGTACGGACTGGAAATTTTGTCTGTTAAATCAAAGTTTTATGGTAATAGTTTGTTCTTTACATTTGAAAATTTACATACTACAACTGCTTTCATTATTATTTAATTTAACTTTGAATCTTCATGTGATGTAATGTTATAATTTTCAAAAAAATATTATAAAATTAGTCATATAGACTTAAAATAGTATTTTATCTTAATATTAAATAATTTATATTTTAAAATATGCATTAGGCTAAATTTTGAAATTTTTCAACAAATTTAATATGAGTATTATCAATCTAAATATAGGAATATGTCTATTGTATATAGCTGTTTTGTTGTAATTGATTTATCATCGTTAATCATATAATGATGATGGTAACCAGTACTGTACACCAATAGTTAATGACTATCTGTTCTACTAAAGAATTAGATGTTCTACGTGAAAATGTTAACTGAGGGTCTATATCCCATTGTTTCAAATAGTCTTAATTACAATGTGCTACAATACAGTCTAAAATTCTTACCAATTTCCTAAAATGTATTTAAAACACAATAAAAAGCCTATATGTGAGTTACAAACACTGTCACATTAAAATTTAAGATGTTTAAAACATGCTAGCTGATTACAAAATTAGAGTACCCAGTGCCAGGAAAAAGTCTAGCAATTTGAGTAATTAGTTGTGAAAAATGTTAGGGTTATGCTAAAGTTTCCTAAATTTAACTATTTTCTCAAAATATTATACTGTATTTCAAATTACATTAGCACATTTAAAATTTGATATGTTAGATTTGGCTAATTTCATAAACTGAATTTAATAATTGAAATGCTCCTGTGAGACGGTAGTAGGATCTTTGACGTGTGGCATGCATTCCACAGCTGTACTGTTTGGTAAAAATGGCAAACATTTTTTTTAATGAAGTAAATTCAAATATTTTTTACTTTAAAAGATGCATCTGTTAAAATAGAGATTTTAAAATGAAGGAAAATCTTTGGTTTTTGTATACTTTTTGAATAATACTGTTTACAGACATTAATGAATATATTGAATATGGAAGCTAAAATTAATGTAATAAAAATTGGAAAAAATAATTAATTGAAAAGATTTCAGTTTAAGTTTTGGATTAGTTTATCATCACTTAATTAAAGGGTAAAGAATGATCGACGGAGGTTGCAAATATTTTTAGAAAGTGTTATGAATTCAAGCATTTGTTTTCTGATCATAAAATTGTAATTTAATAAATATTCTCTTTTGAATACAGAGTAATTTGACTAAATTTTAAGAAAGTTGAAGAAAGATTTATTATTTTAGAAGTTATAATCTTATGGGATGTATTTTGAATTCTTGTTGAAATGAGAAACAGTAAGATTGGAAATTTTCTGCACTACCTTCTTTAACTGTGATTAATTTATAAAATAGATCTACTCATATGCATTAAGCTCTCCTGTTAAGAACAGGTTCCCAACTGTATAGCTTATTTGTAATTTAGATTATGTAATAACGTACAAACAAATTTGAAATTCGTGTTCCAACATTATATTTTTAAACTCTGGTTTCCTGAAGAAGGCCTTCGGTGTAGGTTGAAAACATTTGAAGAGATTTGTTTCTGTTCTGCTGGGTTGAAGGTGAGCTTTATTGAGACGACATAATTTGTTTTCATCAGCATTTGAACTTGTTCAAAAGTACACGAGTTTTTAAAAAATCGACTAGAATTTATAAGAATAATTCGAAGCAATGTCTATTAAAACTTATTTAGCAAAGGGAGTTTGGTAGACATTTGTGAAAATTTAACAGAAAAGAATTTTAAGTCTCAAGAAATTTGCACAGCGGATATTCTCTATTTTTGCTTCTATGTATCTTTGCAAACAAACTTCATCAATAACTTGGCATGTTTTTCAAAACATCTGCATGTGATTTTAACACCCTGCCAGAATGTAACTTACAAAATTGTGTGTGGAGAAAGTTTATTGTGAAAATAAATTTTCCCTATGTAATCATTGGCTGAAAAATGTATTGAGATCATGCAATCTATGAAGTTTGTATGTGAAAACCAATGTTCTACTTGGAAGATGTTTTATGAGTTATGCCTGTATTATATTTAAAAGTATAAATCAAAGTAAAAAAATCACAGGTAACATCATATTAATTGCAGTCATTAAGTAGTTCATTACTTTGTGATAAAATTTTAATCAGTGTCTACAATACAATACTCATCTTATTGAAATAAAAAATTTATGATAAATTCAGCACTTTGTTTCAAATTTGTAAGTTTTTAATTTTTTTATGTCTTGATTCTCAAAGTGCTTTTCCAAAATTCAAAACAAGAAAAATTTGAATTTTCCTGATCAGAAACCCTAATAGAAATGTTATATATATATATGTAATGTGTGTGTGTATTTTACATGCAAATATTAACTGAAAACATGACTAATCAGAAATTAGAATGATGATTGCATGATTTAAAATTAGATAAAGTCTTGTTCATAAATCAAAATTAAATAAAAATAAATTTATACATCTTTATTTATTTTTATTGTTATAGCTAATGTAGAAACAATGCTAAAACGGGACAGACTGCTAGCTCCTCACTATCGTTATTATGTACGTGAAATGCGGATTTTGGCATACACACAATTACTGGAATCTTACCGAAGTCTCACGCTGCAATATATGGCTGTAGCATTTGGTGTTAGTGTGGAATTTATCGATAGGTTTGAAATTTTCTTATTTTGAAAGATTAGAATAAGATATCAAGTAATTTGAAAAACTTCAAATTTTTACAGATCTGTCTTTATTAATACATATTACTTAAGAAAATACCTCATTTAAATATTATTGTTGTTTATAACTTTAAGTGGAATAAATGTAATGTTAAAACAATATCATCCATGACAGTTTTCTTTTGAAATTATTATTAATGCTTAATTAAAATACATATAAATTATAATGTGATGATTATATATATATATATATATATATATCTGACTGATATGTGTAATTAATATTTCAGAGAATTGGCTAGATTTATAGCAGCTGGTAGACTGCATTGCAAAATTGACAGTGTTGGAGGAATTGTAGAAACAAATAGACCTGATAGTAAAAATTATCAATATCAAGTGAGTTAATAATAACATAGCAATAGATCATTTTTAAATAGTAAAATTTATTCTGTAAATTGAAAACTTTTTATACAGAAATTTGAAGGTAAATGGAGTTTTTGTTAAAACTAAAAAATCTAAATATGAATATATTAAGATATTTTCATAACTAAAATTTTATATACAGTGGAACCTCACTTAATGAGCATAATTCGTTCCATAGTCTTACTCATAATGCAAAACGATTTTTCCCATATAAATTTATGTAAATACAATAATGCATTCCATGCCAAAAAAAATACTCAAATATTTTATGTATAACGTTTATTCAAAGAAAATTATACAATATACATTGTTAAGGAGCGTTAATCCTCATTATCATTTCTTCTAGCATTGAATGAATCAACTTGAAATACAAATTTGATTTGCAGAAAACAAAAGAATCACAGACAATATGTCTGATAAGCACGTCAAACAATATGCCAAATTTTTGGGCTATGTAAAGGCTATAATTAAATAGTAGAAATTAATTTGATTAAAAGTAGGCAGTTATGCTGCCATCTCGTAATAAATTTAATGACAGACATTTCTAAAATTTAATTTGGAATCAGTCATTAAATTTATTACGAGATGGCAGCATAACTGCCTACTTCTAATCAAATTAATTTCTACTATTTAATTATAGCCTTTACATAGCCCAAAAATTTGGCATATTGTTTGACGTGCTTATCAGACATATTGTCTGTGATTCTTTTGTTTTCTGCAAATCAAATTTGTATTTCAAGTTGATTCATTCAATGCTAGAAGAAATGATAATGAGGATTAACGCTCCTTAACAATGTATATTGTATAATTTTCTTTGAATAAACGTTATACATAAAATATTTGAGTATTTTTTTTGGCATGGAATGCATTATTGTATTTACATAAATTTATATGGGAAAAATCGTTTTGCATTATGAGTAAGACTATGGAACGAATTATGCTCATTAAGTGAGGTTCCACTGTATATAAAATTTTAGTTATGAAAATATCTTAATATATTCATATTTAGATTTTTTAGTTTTAACAAAAACTCCATTTACCTTCAAATTTCTGTATAAAAAGTTTTCAATTTACAGAATAAATTTTACTATTTAAAAATGATCTATTGCTATGTTATTATTAACTCACTTGATATTGATAATTTTTACTATCAGGTCTATTTGTTTCTACAATTCCTCCAACACTGTCAATTTTGCAATGCAGTCTACCAGCTGCTATAAATCTAGCCAATTCTCTGAAATATTAATTACACATATCAGTTATATATATATATATATATATATATATAATCATCACATTATAATTTATATGTATTTTAATTAAGCATTAATAATAATTTCAAAAGAAAACTGTCATGGATGATATTGTTTTAACATTACATTTATTCCACTTAAAGTTATAAACAACAATAATATTTAAATGAGGTATTTTCTTAAGTAATATGTATTAATAAAGACAGATCTGTAAAAATTTGAAGTTTTTCAAATTACTTGATATCTTATTCTAATCTTTCAAAATAAGAAAATTTCAAACCTGTCGATAAATTCCACACTAACACCAAATGCTACAGCCATATATTGCAGCGTGAGACTTCGGTAAGATTCCAGTAATTGTGTGTATGCCAAAATCCGCATTTCACGTACATAATAACGATAGTGAGGAGCTAGCAGTCTGTCCCGTTTTAGCATTGTTTCTACATTAGCTATAACAATAAAAATAAATAAAGATGTATAAATTTATTTTTATTTAATTTTGATTTATGAACAAGACTTTATCTAATTTTAAATCATGCAATCATCATTCTAATTTCTGATTAGTCATGTTTTCAGTTAATATTTGCATGTAAAATACACACACACATTACATATATATATATAACATTTCTATTAGGGTTTCTGATCAGGAAAATTCAAATTTTTCTTGTTTTGAATTTTGGAAAAGCACTTTGAGAATCAAGACATAAAAAAATTAAAAACTTACAAATTTGAAACAAAGTGCTGAATTTATCATAAATTTTTTATTTCAATAAGATGAGTATTGTATTGTAGACACTGATTAAAATTTTATCACAAAGTAATGAACTACTTAATGACTGCAATTAATATGATGTTACCTGTGATTTTTTTACTTTGATTTATACTTTTAAATATAATACAGGCATAACTCATAAAACATCTTCCAAGTAGAACATTGGTTTTCACATACAAACTTCATAGATTGCATGATCTCAATACATTTTTCAGCCAATGATTACATAGGGAAAATTTATTTTCACAATAAACTTTCTCCACACACAATTTTGTAAGTTACATTCTGGCAGGGTGTTAAAATCACATGCAGATGTTTTGAAAAACATGCCAAGTTATTGATGAAGTTTGTTTGCAAAGATACATAGAAGCAAAAATAGAGAATATCCGCTGTGCAAATTTCTTGAGACTTAAAATTCTTTTCTGTTAAATTTTCACAAATGTCTACCAAACTCCCTTTGCTAAATAAGTTTTAATAGACATTGCTTCGAATTATTCTTATAAATTCTAGTCGATTTTTTAAAAACTCGTGTACTTTTGAACAAGTTCAAATGCTGATGAAAACAAATTATGTCGTCTCAATAAAGCTCACCTTCAACCCAGCAGAACAGAAACAAATCTCTTCAAATGTTTTCAACCTACACCGAAGGCCTTCTTCAGGAAACCAGAGTTTAAAAATATAATGTTGGAACACGAATTTCAAATTTGTTTGTACGTTATTACATAATCTAAATTACAAATAAGCTATACAGTTGGGAACCTGTTCTTAACAGGAGAGCTTAATGCATATGAGTAGATCTATTTTATAAATTAATCACAGTTAAAGAAGGTAGTGCAGAAAATTTCCAATCTTACTGTTTCTCATTTCAACAAGAATTCAAAATACATCCCATAAGATTATAACTTCTAAAATAATAAATCTTTCTTCAACTTTCTTAAAATTTAGTCAAATTACTCTGTATTCAAAAGAGAATATTTATTAAATTACAATTTTATGATCAGAAAACAAATGCTTGAATTCATAACACTTTCTAAAAATATTTGCAACCTCCGTCGATCATTCTTTACCCTTTAATTAAGTGATGATAAACTAATCCAAAACTTAAACTGAAATCTTTTCAATTAATTATTTTTTCCAATTTTTATTACATTAATTTTAGCTTCCATATTCAATATATTCATTAATGTCTGTAAACAGTATTATTCAAAAAGTATACAAAAACCAAAGATTTTCCTTCATTTTAAAATCTCTATTTTAACAGATGCATCTTTTAAAGTAAAAAATATTTGAATTTACTTCATTAAAAAAAATGTTTGCCATTTTTACCAAACAGTACAGCTGTGGAATGCATGCCACACGTCAAAGATCCTACTACCATCTCACAGGAGCATTTCAATTATTAAATTCAGTTTATGAAATTAGCCAAATCTAACATATCAAATTTTAAATGTGCTAATGTAATTTGAAATACAGTATAATATTTTGAGAAAATAGTTAAATTTAGGAAACTTTAGCATAACCCTAACATTTTTCACAACTAATTACTCAAATTGCTAGACTTTTTCCTGGCACTGGGTACTCTAATTTTGTAATCAGCTAGCATGTTTTAAACATCTTAAATTTTAATGTGACAGTGTTTGTAACTCACATATAGGCTTTTTATTGTGTTTTAAATACATTTTAGGAAATTGGTAAGAATTTTAGACTGTATTGTAGCACATTGTAATTAAGACTATTTGAAACAATGGGATATAGACCCTCAGTTAACATTTTCACGTAGAACATCTAATTCTTTAGTAGAACAGATAGTCATTAACTATTGGTGTACAGTACTGGTTACCATCATCATTATATGATTAACGATGATAAATCAATTACAACAAAACAGCTATATACAATAGACATATTCCTATATTTAGATTGATAATACTCATATTAAATTTGTTGAAAAATTTCAAAATTTAGCCTAATGCATATTTTAAAATATAAATTATTTAATATTAAGATAAAATACTATTTTAAGTCTATATGACTAATTTTATAATATTTTTTTGAAAATTATAACATTACATCACATGAAGATTCAAAGTTAAATTAAATAATAATGAAAGCAGTTGTAGTATGTAAATTTTCAAATGTAAAGAACAAACTATTACCATAAAACTTTGATTTAACAGACAAAATTTCCAGTCCGTACACCATAAGTGAAAATTAAAACCTGTTTACTTTTAATTTAATTACACATAAAAAAGTATTTTAATAGGTTATTTCTTTTTTCAAATCCAAGAGTCACAGCTCTTATCTTCACACCACAATGGGAGGGTCTCAATATATTATCATCCAAAGAAATAAGAAATTCTTTTGGTGTTTTGTGAAATTTAAATTTTGTTTTCGTTTTAAGATCATTATTTATTTGTTTAGTTAAATACAATTAAAGTGCAGTTCCCAAAAAATGTTTACTTAGTTATTTCGATTTAGATTCTATACTTGTTTATTACAGTATCAGGAGTACAAATGAGTACTGTACATAAGCAATAATACATATATAGAACTTTTCTGTAAAATTAAACTTCTCGCACATACTTAATTTTAATTATACAAATGTAGCTGCATAAGTAAACAGATTTAAAAATTCAGAAATTAATTAGTTTAACATATGCATTCGGTAAACCTACTTTGTTATATTATGGATTTTCAGCTTTAACAAACATCCGCTTGCCCAAATTGGTCTGTTAAATCAAGGTTTTACTGTATAAATACTTTTTTGAATCATGAAATAACTGATTTATTCCATAATTTTGAACAAAATTTGAAAAATTCTCAAAAGAATTCTTACTCTTTTGTTTTCACTTTATAAGTAAAGTGCTTATTCATATATTCTTTTAAAAAAATTGTAAACATTGCATTATATTAAAAATAAACATTTTTAATATGTTAAATAGATTATCATAAAATTTATATGATGTTTTATTTCAGACATACCTAAATTTTTGAAGAATTTTTCATACTGACAATTAAACAATGAAAATAAATAATTGTTCATATCTTGACAATTGTGCAAAACTTCCAATATTTCTGATCCTTTCACAACCTGTTAAGAGAAATTTTATTTTATTAACTAATAAAATGGAAATAATATTTTAAATTAGGTATCTTACATATTAAATATAATAAAGAACTTTCTTTCAGTATTAAAATTCTCTCAATTAGCACAATATATATAAGAACAAGCACTTTCAATGGTGTTTGCTCATATATTTTGTTGTCATTATTGTCTTCCTCATGCAAGTTATTTAGAATAGAATACTGAATGTTAGTATATTGAACTAGAAAATCAAAGAATAGAACATAATTTAAAATTTTTTAATGTGCATAATCTTGATTTAAAAAAAAAAATGACCATTAAAATTAGTTCTGTAACAGACCAAAAGCAAAAGGAAAACAAGTCTGACACAAGTTTTAAATATTGAAATAAATTTTAAAGCATAAGCAGCCCAAATGGGACAGATGCTAGCTAACACTATAGTGGCTGACATCAAAAATGTAATAATATCCAAGTAATAATGCAATGACCAAGTTCACATTAATGATTATATCAGTAACCTCAATAAAATTTTCAGAATTAATCATCATTTGACTTTTTAACTAGAGAACTACAAATTTCAAAATTATACATAAATTTGAAATTTCTATTTGCAAACAGTATAATGTCAACAAGATTAAGTAAGTGATTGTGTA